TATATATATAAAACTTAAATTTTATTAACTTTAAGATAAAATTGGTTCTTATCCCATTCAATAGACCAAAACACATGTTTCTCAAAATTTTACTTTTTTTCCCAATATTAGAATGACGCCTTTCAGAAAAACTAATCCATTTCACAAAAAGTGAGGCAATAAAAGAAGAAAAAAGGAAATCCCATTTCCGCGCCCATATTAAATCAAAATCAAAAAAATAAAAAAGAACCCCCCAAAAAACAGTCACTTTACTCATATTCACCAACTTCTCCTCACTCCACTACTTCCGCCGCCGGCCACCGTACATCCGCCATGGACGACGGCGACAAAAGAGCCCTAGATCTAGTCAAAGAATTAGTCCACCGCTTACTCTCCACTTCTCCACCTCCCCCCAACCCCAATTCCTTAAACCCTAACCCTAACCTCCCTTCAGATCAACAGTTCCACCAAGCTTTAAGATACGCTATTCGCATACTCTCCAGTCGAATGACGCCTTCAATTGCTGCCGATGAGTCCGCAATGGCTGAGTCCATCAAGCGGCGGTTAGCTACTCAAGGTAAATCCTCTGATGCCCTCACTTTTGCTGATGTTTATTCCAAATTCTCGTCGAAAACTGGACCTGGAAGTGTGAAAAACAAATGGGCTGTTTTATATTTGCTTAAAACTGTCTCTGAAGATCGTAAAATTCAAAAACATCAGTCTAATAGTGTAGCTTCTAGTGGGTTTTTAAGCTCCGCATTGTCGGGTGGGTTACCTGAATTGGTTGGAAGTGAATCGAATCGTAATTTGAATAATTTGAAGGGTAAATTGGGGAAAATAGAGAAGGGCTATGTTGATGGTAGTTTGAATGATGAATTTAGGAATTTGAATTGTTTAGGGGATAATTCGAGGAGTTTGAGGGGTAGAGGTGATGTAGGGAAGGGATGGAGTGGAGGGGTTTTGATGGTTTCTAAGGATCCGGAGAACTTGCGTGACATGGCGTATAAGGAGTTTGTGGATTTGTCGAAGGAAGAGAATGAGGTATCCGAGGAGGTTTTGGTGAGGGATGTGTTGTATGCTTGTCAAGGGATCGATGGGAAGTATGTGAAGTATGATAAGAATGCTGATGGCTATGTGTTGCCTGATTGGATGAAGGTTCCGAGGGCTACGAGGAGTGTAGTTAGGAGGCTTTGTGAGCTCGGCTGGTTGTTTAGGAAAGTTAAAGGGTATATCTCCGAGAGTATGGATCAGTTCCCTGCTCAAGATGTAGGCACGGTTGGACAAGCGTTTTGTGCTGCGTTGCAGGATGAGCTTTCGGAGTATTATAAATTGTTGGCAGTGCTCGAAGGGCAGGCAATGAATCCGATACCGTTGGGTTCAGGGGGTGCGTGTTCGGGAAATTATATGTCTCTAAGAAGACTGTCGGTTTGGTTCGCTGAGCCGATTGTGAAGATGAGATTGATGGCTGTTTTAGTTGATAACTGTAAGAGCTTGAAGGGTGGGGCTATGGCTGGTGCAATTCACATGCATGCTCAGCATGGTGATCCACTTGTCAACGATTTCATGAAAAGGTTATTGCGTCGGGTGTGTTCGCCTCTTTTTGAGATGGTGAGGAGATGGGTACTTGAAGGAGAGCTTGAAGATATATTTGCTGAGTTTTTCATTGTGAGTCGAACTGTCAAAGACGAGTCCCTTTGGGGAGAAGGTTACCGCCTTCATGCTTCCATGCTTCCTGCTTTTATTTCTCAATCTCTTGCCAAACAGATTTTAAGGACTGGCAAGTCAATCAACTTTCTCAGAGTTTGTTGTGATGATCGAGGT